TAACAACAGATTTCCGTTATCAACAATGTATCAACACTTCCCATGATATTAAAGGCAATACGCCGGTAAGTAGAAGGTCCTACACCTCAGCGACAAGTCTTGACGACTCATTTCGCTGTCGAAGCATACATCTTCTCAGTCTTCTTTCCGCATCCGCTTTACCTTCCAGAGGGGCAAACCAGTACCGAAGAATACGCCACTGCATTAACACTTCAAGATCGCTGCGTATCTTCGTCTCGTGAACTTTCAGGGAACAACAGTATATCACGAAAGTAGATGTACAAGAGCCACGCGTGCTCCTTCCGAAACAAGTTGAGAACCCCAGGATCCGACCTATAGTAGGACTTGTAGACCAAAGGTACGCCCCTATAGTAGAACTAAGGGACCCAAGGTACCCCTATAGTAGCCCTTGAGAACCTATGGGTACCTCTATAAGATAGCTCTTGAGAGAACACATGGACTGCAAACTATGGTAAAGTATGGATTGGCGTGAATTGAGCTCCAAATTTGGAGTTTCCGCAGCTTGGAACTCGGCTTGTCCGCAGGTAACGCACTCACGGTTCGACAACTTAACACAGGGATTTCGTCAATACAGTAAAGTCTTAGAGTCTCCAAGTTTTGTTTCTAAATGTGTTCTATTAAGCTCTTTTAATATTTGAAAACTTCGTCTAAATTAGCTAGGTCGCTGCTGCTTTAACCCTTTGGCAGCCGACATAAGAGAAGAAAGAAACGACTTTTGCAGAAAACTTATTCGTTTTTGATGGAACGATGCTGTGGTGTGCCCTAATAGAATGGTGATTTGGGAAGCACATAGTTCCTAACATTTGTTTTTAAGCAAATGTGTCTAAAAAACATGCATTATGAATGATTACTTCAGTTCATACAAAGATGAGACTCCTGACGCATATATGCGTCGGCGGCTGCCAAAGGGTTAAAAGAAAAAAAACGCCGGTAACGCATTCACATAAAAGACCCTGTTTTTTTTGGTGCCCTCAAAAATATCGAGTTTTCTACGACTAATCATACCACGAACTTATATTATCGAGAGGAACTTTTTAGTGAACATTCTGAACTATCTACTAAGAAAGACTGTTTTGAAAAATGCTATGTTGTTCTTGAGATGCATATCAAATACTGCAACAATGCACTCATTTTTTTTCTAAAAGGCCCCATAAAAGTTACCATTTCATCCCCTTCACAAAAGTGTGTTCGGCAGTCTAGCCATAGCAAATAGGAGATTTAGTATCAAGTGAGCAGCTAGTTTCGTTACTTTGTTCATAAGTCAATCTGAAGCCAAAATATGATAAAAGAAAAACATGCCCTGTATAGCTATTTTTGTCCTAAAAAGCACCATTTTAGCTAGTGACTATATTTTCTTTCCGTAATGTTTAAAAATAAACTGCACAGTTCGACGCAGAATACATGAAAATGTACCTAAAAAATATAAATACCTTTGATCTATTGATTTCTCTTTGAGAATTCCAAACCTCAACTCTAATAGTCCTAGTTGACCGTTAGCCCGACAAGCCGAGCTTACTTTTTTTTACCCTTAAAACTGCTTCATTTTATCATCTGACTTTTGATCAATCTCTAACTCGCTTTCTAAGGTAGGCATTTTTGACGGAATCAGGAAAAGCTCAATTACAATATAGAAACTAACTAAGGAAAAGGTTGTTGACACACGATGTAACACGACAGTATTTTCTTGCGTCTTCGATTCTTATTTTGTACTTCCATTTTGAAATACTTTTTTTCGACACAGACGCTACGTAAACCAATATATTCCCAGTTTGTTTTATGGAAGCCATGCTCAAAGTCAAAGACTTTTCCTGGAAAAGACACCAAAATGCAGTTTTTGCGCAACGGGATGCTAAAATTCTCTAGCTTTCTTGTTATTATATCATTTTTTACTAATTTTTTTCAGATATAAATTCTATTTCTTAAGATTAGCTGTCGTAACATACCTAAAAATTGTTTACTTATAGAAAAACAATAGATTTTTATTACAATAGTCATTCTCCCAGTCTAGAGAGTTACTTCATTAAGAGTCTAGCTAACAGAGTATGTAGTCAAACATACTAGTTACACACAAACACACTTATTAGACTAAATTTTGTTCAACACATCTCTTTATCAAATTTTGTATGAAACTGGAACTTTTGACCGTTTTGTAAAATCCAGTGAACATGTATATATTTCAAATCAGAGTTTGTTCATAGCATAGAAACTAGACGATTTGCAGATGTCCAATAAATACATACTTAGATGTGCAGAACCTATTAATGGACAAGCTCCTTATTTTGAAATCTCACCTGTATGGATGACTGAGAAGATGGAGTAATCGCAGCCGGTATAGTTGACATCTATTTAAACAAAAAGAAAATATGAATAATCAAAGATTTTAAGAATATAACCGGAAACAAAATGGCTTGAGGATTGTCAGACTGATTGTTCGTCGGACGGATTTTATTTTTGGGTCGTCGAGTTGTTACATGGATAACCAAACGAGGTAGCTTATTTTTTGTCATTGAATGATGATACTAGATTCAATGACTCATAAGAATAGAGGCAGAAATTGCAATGGTGAATTACGCACTTGATGAGAAAATTTATCGACAGATGGTACGAATTGCGAAAGACGGCACAGAATATTGTGCAGATCTGTAAGTATACTTAACAATACTGGATAAGAATGATTACCCTGTGTTCTGCTATGTTTATCGACTTAATCTTGATTGTAGTGTGCGATTGTGTTCGATAAGAAAATGAGCGTTTGTGTTTCACTTCGCTGATGCAACTTTTTATATATCGCAGACAGGAGCAAAAGATTTGATAGAAAAATACACATGTTGTAGGTTTCTTTATAATGAGGAGGTGTACATTATTCAAAGGCTTCTTATCGGTTGATGTGAGACACTCAGATTTGATCAAATAAATTTCCTAATGAAAAAAATTGAATTATGATATTTTTAACTTTTACATCTAATACAAAGTCATGAATTTCATGTGCATAAAATTACTGTGCAAGCGAGAGTGAATTGAAAATGTGACTCACTCCCTCCCTACACTTGAAATCTCACTGGCAATACTCAGATATTTTTACTTCTGTATGTAACACGCAAAGAAAAATCGTACGCTTCGTATAACCTCAAATCACTGGTGTTTTAATCCGGTGTGACTTGCTGTAGGAGACCGGTAGGTGATAACTAAAATCAAATGATAATATATTTGAGTACTAAAGAGCCAAATCAGTCTATGGTTTTTTCGATTTAAAATTGAGATCAAGAATAGATATTCCGAAATAGTTTTCAATTGTAGGGTAGAATCAATGAAACTTTCTTACAATTGAGATATGCAACTATTTTATCTCTCAATGTAAACGTTGTGATTAAATTCAATAATGTCAAACAAGCTTGAACGTTGGCGTACTGTAATAATATTCTTTGAAAATCAATGAAAAATTCACTGCACAGATAATTCGTTGCCAATCATTTCGACTTCAGTTTATTTCTTGTATAAAGCAAAAAGAAAAAATAATTAAATCGAAAGAAGCGCTTTCTTTTTGGCTTCTAATCGAATGCAATACACAACTCAATCTTTGCAACAATAAATAGGTGTCTATGACAATAATAAAATATAGAATTGTATTGAAATTGAATTGCATTTGAAACACTAAAGCCTAGGAAAGAAATTGAAAGAACGAAAAAAAACTAGTTTTACACGTTTTGGACTCTTTACTAGACTAACATCTCAGCTAATAGGGGTATAGGGAAAGCCAGAATTTTCATATCTGAAATATAAATCAAGTTAAGCTCTAAACAGAATATTCGACAGCATTTTCCGGTTTACATTTTCTTTTATTTTTAGCTCATACTTCGAAACACGCACTAATGCAAAATGACCGCCATCAATCGCTAAAAAATCAGATTACGAGAATCTTTTTAATATTACTCTATATCAAAATTCTATATCAACAAACTGAATTTTAAGTTTTACAATTTTTAGTTTATTTCATTTGGTAGTGTTTTCTTCTGAAAATTCAGTTTATTTGCAATTCAATTATACTTTTTATTGTTGCGATCGAAGATTAACTTGTGTGCTGCATTGAATAAGAAACCAAAAAGAAGTATATCTTTCAATTCCATTATTTATTCCTTTTGCTTTTGTGCGATGAATTTATTTGCGCTGAATAGACGAGCAACAAAATGAATTGCAACGTAAATCAAATAGAAACAGATCAATCTATATCTCTCAGATACAAATCAATCTGCTAGTCTCAACTCTTGCTTTTCAGCAACCGATGAAGTCGTAATTAATTTGACAAATTGAATATTCGTGCTTTATGAAATAATAAAAAAAGAATGCAGAGTTTATTTTCGCCGACGCGTTTCATGTTTATTTTTATTGAAATAATAAAACACTCATCAGGGCTCTGCGTTACAAAGACACAAATTTTAAAACAATAAATGAAGTATAACAATAATTATGATGAAAGCTACGCAGTGACATGACAAACAAAACTAACAACTAATAAACATACATAAAAAGTTAATAAAAATACAAAAATTCAAAACTACGTTAACTAATATAAAGACACCACTGTGTAATAACTCAAGCAATAGTTTATTTTAAAATTCTAAAGGTACAAGTTACCAACATATTATTGTTGTTGTCGATATATTAGTACGTGTACGTGATGGTGGAATTTTCAGCTAGATAATATCACTAATTTGTTTCCGAAGATATGAATAATATCACTTATTTGTCTCTGAAGATATTGATAAAGGATAAATAAGAATGATATCATTCAGCCATACGTGTCCATTGATTAAAGTCACGGCTGCATAACACATTAAAAGAGTATCACAACAGGATTCGGGTGAATCAGAAACTTTATATAAAGATGTAATTACAGCAGTGCGTATTATTCGTCGAATTGTACAATGACCAGCAGTAGCTGTTGGACAACCACTTCATACTGCACTGATTTTATCTAATAATTAAGGAGAATGTTTTTCTTTAAGTTTAAATGCTGATCGAATAAAATAAGGTTTAACATCAGAATATTTATCTTCAAATGATATACATTCAGAAAGTGATTCAAGAAATGGTTGTTTCATCATCTTTTTTCATTAATGATCAATAATCAATAAGTTAAGTAGATAATTGATTGATCAATAAATTTTGCTTGAGTCAATAAATTTTGCTTGATGAAATTGGTTTATAACCACCAGTTGAAAAATTAACTGATTGATCATTAATTAATTAATTTATCAATAAATTTTGCTTGATGGAATTGGTTGATAATCACCTCAAAGCAATTATAATCATTGTCAGAGATAATTTCAATTGAACGAAGGTAGACAATTGAAATAGTACGATTGTTATATTATCGCTTATTTGTCTCTGAAGATATAAATATATGCAATTGAAATAGTACTCTTCATTTATTTGTCTCAGAAGATATGAACGTAAACAGTTGACATAATGTTATTCATGTAATATCACTTATTTGTCTTTATTTATCTCCAAAGATATGATTTCGTATGTACTAACCGCCTTTGTAGGTTGTTAACATTGCGTGTACCAAGAACAGGTATGACTTCATTAATTGGAGACTCACCAAAATATTTATTCCATAATGTATGGAATTTACCTGGAAATGTTTTCATATTTGAACAATATGTAAAATGTACAAACATTGTCTTTCCATAATCAATTGGTACTTTTTCTTTTATTGGAGAGTCTATAACTTTTTGACGATAATTATCATAATTATTTACTGTTAGAAGCTGATCAATCTTGAATTTTAATAATATATATTGAAATTGTTCATTAATAAATTTATTCGGATATTTATTTAATAATAGTCCTATCCGTAACTGTTCACGTTCATTTAGATATGCTTGAAAGGTTGAGCAATATCTAATTGTACGCAATACCATAGTAAAAATGATATTTTTCTTCATATGTAACGGATGAATACTATTAAATGGCAAATAATATGGTTCATAAGATGGCTTTACATATACTGTAGTAAACAATTGACCATCTTGATTCTCTATATGTAAATCGAGAAAATCAACTGCTGAACCTATATTTTCAGATAATTTTATATTTTCGTCGAAATGATTCCATTTATCGATTTGTTTAAATAGATGCCGAACAGGCCAATTAATTGCTATAAAAATATTATCCATATATCTAAAATATAATCCACCACTATTGCTAATTTGTTTTATAATTTGTTGTTCATAAAAGAACATATAACAATTAGCAACAGTTAGTGTACGAGGAGAACCCATAGCTCCTCCACGAATTTGATGATAAAATTGGCCATTATAAGAAAAATAATTACTTTGCATAACAAATCGACTTAATCTAATAATTGTTTCAATTTTTAAGACCGCCAACTTGCTTTAATTTTAAGTGGTCTAACATTTTCTTTAATGAAAGTACTCCTTCAGTTTGTGGCACCATTGTATAAAGGTCTGCAACATCAATTGTACAAAATAAAGTTTCTTGACGTATGTTAACTTTAGACCATTTTTGCAACTGTTTAACTAATTCAAAACCAGAAGTTACAGTTGTCTCTGAAGCCATTTTATCAAATAAAGGTCGAAGTAATTCATCAAGAAATTTTGATATTTTAATTGTAGGATGTTTAAGACCAGATATAATTGGACGAAGAGGAGTACCAGGCTTATGTGCCTTAGGTAAATAATATAAATGAGCAAGTTCGACTTCATTTGGATTAATACAAAGTTTTTCATATTGTTTTTGAGTAATCCACTTGGTTAATCTTAAATCTAATAAGTATTTATTAGTACGATGAATTAGATCAGGTAATGGATCTTCAGTGCCTAAACATTTATAGGCCTTTGTTTTCTCCATATATTCTTCTGATTTTTTGCGATAATTGTCAAGTCTACCTAAGTGGAATACGTTGTTTTTATCAGATTTTTGAAGGACAATATTCTATAAATGAAGCTTATATTTTAAGCGTTTAATTAACCGTCTATAATTCTTCTTCTTTTTAGTAATAATTCGAGAATTTATATCTTGGGATTGAGTTAACTCTATAGTAGAAACTAAATTATCATAGATAATATTTTGTGTATTATTTTGTGTTGGTGTAGTTTTTAATTTTTGATAAATTACAGAAGTATCATGTAGTTTCTGAAGCAAAATATCTAATTCGGTAATAAATTGTTCAACTGGACGACCGGGGCTAACTTTCTTTTCAAAGAAACGAGCTTCAATTTTTTCGTTTAAGAGTAGCCAACTCAGTTGTACGTCGTCGAGATGCCGTTTTTGGATCATTATAAGTAAACCGAGGACCTAATTTTAGTAATTCATGTTCTTTCTCGGTTAATCGAATTTGTGCTTCATTAATTACAGCTGGGGCGAGAATTCCTCGCCCAGCCATCGAATTAGAGTCGGGGCAACGACTTCTACCGGATTGTTCGTGTCGCCCTCGACTCGCTCTTCGGATAAAAAATAAATCGATTGTTCAGCTTCTATATTTAATCTTTTTTCTCGTAAATTATGGTAATGTTTAAATGCTGCATGTCCAGGTTCAGCATCAAATCCCTCATCATTTTCTTGAGGAAAGCCTTCAATAATACCTTAGCGTAAATCAATTGTATAACAGACCAACTTGTATAGCTAAGATACAAATCAATCTGCTGATCTCAACTCTTGCTTTTCAGCAACCGACGTTTTTGTCGAAATTAAATGAAAGGGTGTGGGTGGGTGTGTTTACAGAAGTGACTTATTGTAAAGTCAGATCAAAAGCTAGCAAGACACGTGTTTCGATTACCGCTGAGATAATCAACTATCAATTGCTTAAGATTTAAGTTGAAATAGTTTTTCTCGTACTAGGAATTACTAATATTGAAAGTCTTATGAGAAGACTCTCAAGCTATTAATAAAACCTAATAAATAATCATCGGAAAATTTTTTGAGGGAAAAATTCCAATCACAGTTGAAGAGGTTCTCCAATAGGTGGGCGTGTTTACAGAAGTGACTTATTGTAAAGTCAAATCAAAAGCTAGCAAGATACGTGTTTCGATTACCGCTGAGATAATTAATTATCAATTGCTTAAGATTTAAGTTGAAATGTAGTGGAGTTACAAAGGACGGGGGACGTTTTCCTGGGATTTTGGCCCACTGTGAAAATAAAGGTTGTTTTGAGTGAAACTTTCAGCAAATACTCAGCTATATAGCAGCGGCCATCACACAAAATTTCAACCTGATCCGTTGAACTTTTTCTTTACTTTCAC